ACAGTACTCATTAGGATTAGTTTTTAAACCTAAATGGTTTGTTGCAATTGGTTTCCTGAAATAATTTGTGCTACCTACACTTTTTGGGTTTTACAGTGTAGAAATTAAACTGTAATTTAACCGTAATTAAACTGTAAACAAAACATTCTTTTAAAATTTTTTTAAAAATGTTTAGTGTATTAAGTGTATAAAGTGCTTTAAAAATAAACATGGCTTGACTTAAGTCTAGAATTTCTCTGAAATACATAATGTAATGATGTTTCATGTTTTATTTAAAATTTGTATTGTTTTATTTAATTTAACGTTTACTTAAAATAATGCACTAATCAATATAATTACAATAATAAAGCATAGACCCACACGTTGTGTATAGTGTGAGGAAATGGCAGGTTGTGCTAAACTGCACCTGTTATAGAACGGCTGTTTTTCCCTTTAGTTATGTTGATTTTTTCATCAATTTTTTGATGTAAAAGCACATATTTGAATCTCAACACTGTAAATGGATGTCCACTAATGTTATTCCAGTGCTCAGATATTTCAAGCTGTTTTTGTTCAGTAAACTAAGAGAAAAGAAACTACAGTGCTCAGCATAATACACCCCATTTTGAAAATAAGAATTTTTATCCATTTCTCAGTGAATATAGGCAATGTATTTTGGTGCATCTAAACAAAACAGATTTATTAAACAGATATATTTATTAAAATCATATTTTAGCCACCAAACATATTTAAAAATCGAAATATAATACAATTAAATTTAAGCAAAATATTGCAAAAATAAATTTATTTTTGTTTAGCTTTTTTTGCTTCTGTTGATTTTTCCTCTTCATTAAATTTGTATTTCATATTTTTCTATAACATATAAATGTGAGTTTATTCATTTTTGGACCGTTATCGTAAGTTATTTTGTTAGATAAGCTCCAGATTTGGCTTCAGTGCTGACTAATCTAATGTATATGCACAAATATAATATTGTACAGCTTCCTATTAAAAGTATGAATTTAAAATATAGATTTGTGAAGATATATATGCTGAGCACTGTATACTCTGAGTATATTCTGGCCTTGAAACTATAGCCTAAGTAAAAGGGTAGCTTATTCAGTGCAACTTAACCTTTCTTTAAAAAAAACACCTATACATAAACATGAGACTTCAGCAAGATGTTAAAAACATTAACAAGGCATTCAATCAATCCTGATCAGTGTGGCAATGATGTGTCAATGTTGGTCGATTCATCCATTCATTCATTCAGTTTTAGTGTTACTGGTTAGGCAAGATAAATACCTGAGACTAAGTAGTAGTAAAACAAAGAATGAGTAGTATTTTCAGTTTTAATGATATCTCTATAAAACATCTAAAGAGAGCAATTATTTTTAACTGCAGCACTATCCTGCTATTGTTTCAGGTAGCGCTGTTTTTACCTCACGGTTTCTTGATTTCTTCAGCCCAATGAGAAATACCCTTAAACGCTTTACAACACCTGGTGACTGACAGCTCCTTTGATCTGCAAATATTTGCAAACCGAAAGAAAGCAAACCGAGATTAGCAGCACTGTGACTGTGGCACGTTTGTATCCAGGATACAGCCAATCACAAAATAAAGAGATTAACAGACACTCCCAGATATTTGATCATGCCAGAGCCTATACTTAGAGTTTGATGGCTCTGACATTTAGTCAAAGAGACTCTAAAAGACTGACTGTTTCCTCTGCAACTTGTGTGGCTTGTAAAAAAGTCGCTACCAAAAATACACAGAAGCCACTTTCAGGGTTCCCACGGGCCAAGGAATTTCTGGAATATCATGGAGTTTAACAAGGTCTTTTCTAAACATTGAAAGTCAGAGGATTTTATTTGATATTTTTGTCCAAGACATGGAATATTAGGATTTTTTGTTCTCAAAAAAAAAAATATATATATTTTGCTCGTTCAAACTACTTATTTAATATGAGCTGAAACAACACAATTCTTGAGATTTCATTGGGACAACCTAATTTGTTTGTTCAATCCACATAAATTTGTTAAAAGTGTTAAGTTAACTTAATCAATTTGTGTTGGGACAACCTAATTGAATTGTGTGGAACCCTGTTTTATCGTTATCTTGCTATCATTAGGCTATTTTCACTGCTATTTTATTTCTTTTTTCATGTGTCGATTAATCAGTCAGTTTCATACACCAGGCTGTGCACCTGCTAAAATACTGTATACTGCATGTTTTTTGTTTGCTCTGTGCTCAAACAGTCCCCCCTGTACACTCCAAACAATATTTTTGCTGCTTGTTCTATCTACTTATTTAAAATGACTTGAAATAACATAATTCTTAAGCTTTCTTGGTGGGACAACTTAATTGTTTTATGTTAAGTCTACCTCAATTTGTAAAAAGATTAAGCTAACCTAATCGATTTGTGTTGGGACAATATAAAGGAATTATGCGGAATTTATTTTTCTGGAAACATTCAATTATTGAGGCCTAAAAATTGTATCAAAATTTGTGGCAATAATTGCGACATTTGTCTGTTTTTTATGTGAAAATATACATAAATTACACATCCTAGTTATTACTTTTTTATCAACAATTTTTTACCTCAAGAGTCTTCGGTCTCTATAATTTATTTAAATGGAACACTGATGAAAACAAAGAAAGTGTTTACCTCTTAATCATATAAAGCTTATATCATATTTGATGAATGATTAAAATAAACAGACTAAATCTCTTTAACAGTAGCATTAGAAATAATCTGATAAAAAATACAAATTTTAGAGATCGATACAACAAATGTACCCCATAATTCGACACAATGAAATAAGCTCTTACCTTAAAGTACATTGCAATTTATGTCACATAATCTAAAGCGGGTCACACATCTAAGGACAAGAGTAACACATAAGTTGTGTTTATAACAACTTGACACTTTAAAACACTTTATATACACAAATCTAATATTATTTGATATAAAACAATGAATGCAACAAACATTTGAATAAATTTATGAATAACGATTGCCCTGGCTGTCAAAAATCTGCAAGAAGTCTGTGGTAATTCAAATGACATTTTGATTTTGTGCCATTTGCTTGAGTTTGCATTCAATTCAGCGATTGCAGAATCACACATTTCTGGAGAGACTGCTCAACATAACCGCTACATATTTTTCTATACTTTACAGGTAATCCAGTCTTTTAGTGAGTGAAAGTTAGGATAAAGTAAGTGAATTTGACAATTGGTTTACAGTGAAATCCCTGCACATGCCACTCACACAAAAAAGGCTTAAGATATGGGTTAAGAAGTAAACTAAAACTAGTTTAGCATCCTAAAGCGGCCCAGTAATATGCAATAGCAAGTAATATGCAAATCCAAAACTTTGCTTTGTCTGTGAGTTGCAAACTGATCATGATGAAGTCAAGCTTGACTTTGACTAACTCAAATCATGCATGACGTGTAGAGGGAATGTGAGGAAACATCTCCCTGCAGCCCGAAAACACGCCTGGAAATGCAGGTTAATGGTACCACCAAATAAAAGGTTTCCTATTTCACTGTTTTGTAGACTAAACAGACAGGCACGCACTATGACGAGGTCTTGCAGAGTGCTTGATTATCCATAATAACATTTCAGATTATAATAATTGCATCTGACCCAATTACACTTTGGAAGGATGAAAGGATAATTTGTTGGACTAATAGGAAAGATGAAAAAGGATAATCAGAGTAATAGGAAAAGATGATTAAAGATCGTGATTGAAGATCATTAATAGTCAGAACATTATCATATGAGATAAGTCTAATTATGTTACACATACACAATCATGTAAAAGTTTGAGGGTCAGTAAAGTTATTATTATTACTGACTTTTGTTTAAAGACATTATTATTTTCATCGGGAATTTAAAGTAAAAGTAGTGAGATTTAAAATGTTACAAAAGATTTACAGTTCAAATAAATGCTGTTTTATTTAGCATCATATATTTCAGACAAAAATATTTAGACATTTTCATTAAAAATAAGAATAATTGGATATTAGAATATATTAGAATAGTATAAGATATTACAGTGCTCGGCAAAATTGAGTACACCTCATTTTGAAAAGGAATATTTTTATGCATTTCTCACTGAATATATAGGTAATATGTTTTGGTGCATTTGAACAAAAGTTTTATTGAACAGATATATTTATTAAAATCATATTTTAATCACAAAAGAGCAAAACAAAAAGAGAAACAAAAAAACATAAAATTTGTTGACATTTTGTAGTTTATAATTGTTTTTCCCAATTTTTCGCATGGATTTAAAAGTATTATTATTGTATTTCTGAAAATGTTTGGTGAATAAAATATTATTTTATTAATTATATCTGTTTAATAAATCTGTTTTGTTTAAATGCACCAAAATATATTACCTATATTTACTGAGAAATGGATAAAAATATTCAAAATGGGGTGAACTCAATTATGTTGAGCACTGTATGTATATATATATATATATATATATATATATATATATATATATATATATATATATATATATATATATATATAAATCAAACCATAATCAATTAGTAAAGTGCTCACTGTTCTAAACAGACAGACTTGAAAATATTATACTGTGGATAGATGATACAGTAGTGTATCTTAAAGCTCATTCCATACATACTGAGTATAATTAGAAAATGCAGATTGAACTGTCTCTGTATCAAAAAAAAAAAATCACTTCATTCATCACAATATAATAAACAAAGTAATTAATTAATAAAGTAAAATAATTCCGCTATCCGGAAATGTGTCTATAGTGATGAGTAAATCTATAGGTTATCATCACTAATAATGAAATCTATCGGCTTTAGCACACATTTGCACTCTGACCTATCTGTGAATCAGCAGATAAATAATGTATAAAAAAATCAAGAATATAAAAAAAATATCACTATCATATTTCTAAGCAAACCAAAACAATTATTAAAATAAACTCCACAGAGGAGTATCTAGAAAGAAAGAAATAATAAAGCTCTCCAACCTCACTGAAGATGTGCTGCACGACCAGAGCGAGAGCCTCCAGACGCCGATTGCCATTAGCGATGAGTTTACGAAGGTGCAGAATGCATTGATTCTTCTTCTCGTTTTGAAGACGGAGATCTTCTCTCTCCTCCTCTTCCTCCACCGGTCCTGCTTGACAGGCCGGGCTGTGCTGTGGCGTCCGTCCAGCCGTGGGCCCTGCAGCTTTGGACCCCTTGGAGCTCTTGTCCACTGTAAAAGAGCGCGTGTTCAGTGCGGTCATTACATTCAGCATGATTTCAGAGTCCAGAATCACATCTACTCACTACAACAACCAGTGATGATGAAAGCATCTGCTAAACACAATCACACCCACAAACCACAAGAAGATACTTCAATGAAATCGTAAGAAAGAAAATATCATGACTAATAGGAAAGATCTGCAACAAAAGCTTTAAGCAACAAAGTCTGTCCCACAAACAACATACGCCCTCTTGGGCTGATGTGGGAAAAAAAGTCGTGGTGCATGCTGGGATTGAGTCTTAATGATAATGCACTGAGGTCCAGAGAGCACATTAAGAGTGCATTAGAAAGAAGCAAAGAGAGATTGTGTGTGTGTGTGTGTGTCTGCGTGTGTGTGTGTGTGTGTGTGTGTGGAGTGCATTTTCTGTCCCATCCTCAACGGCTAACTAAAGTCAAAGGTTTCCCATCCCATGATTTGTGAAAAACACTGACTTACAAATCTTTCACAAAGAAAACAGAGATCAATATATCCAGTGGCAGTGCTAGCTTGAATGGCACCCTGGGCGAACCACCCCATATACGCCCCCGTTCTGCCTCAAGCTTATAAATAGTTGGTTTATAAAAGTGTAGTTCTAATATGGTTCTACAAGGTTACATCTAGTTAATATAGAAAAAGGACCATTACACATGAATATTCTAAAAACTGTTTGTTATTTTACCCTAACTTTGGGTAAAATATGGACAAAACCAGAATTGGAATTATTAAACATAATAATAATAATAATTATTATTATTATTATTAATAACAGAATAAATATTATAAATAAATTATAAATAAATAACAGAAATCAATCCTAAATTAATTTAGACAATTCAATAAAATACAAAAAGATATACATGTTTTATAGAATTATCTGTTCATAGACTTGACTCAAGGCTGAGAATGAATGTTATGAAGTCTTACCTCCTGCCTCATTATCCATCCTTTCTGCTTCTATAACCATACTTAGTCAAAATAAGGTCATCATCATATTATATCAACTTCAGTTTTGTCAACTAGCAAAGCTCACAGCGAGCCGACACCTTGTGCCATAAGTAACAAAAAAGGCTGTTACTCTGGTTTCAGAGCGATTGGATGGTGCGTATTTCATCGTTGTGCATGTAAACAACTGGGATTTACACCAGAAGGCGCGCGGGAATGGTTCTCTTTTCGCATGTATCAGTTTGCTTTTACCAGCTTTGTTTCAATTGCACATGGAGAATAACAAACTTGTGCGTGCAAAAGTCGGCAGATGTGAATGGCTACTAACGTCTTTATTCAGGCATTACCACTCTTGGGATTAATACACTTGCAAAAAGTATCTCAAAGCTTACTGGGTGAAATATGATTTTTACCGGGGCACAATTTTGTTTTGCACCAACTCCCCGTGCCGCCCACCCCCCCACGCCCTGGGCGACCGCCCATTGTGCCACTAAATCCGCCACTGATTATATCACTTATACACTAACTATTTTCACCTACTAAATCACTAATATTTTACAGTTGTGCTACTGAGCAATAATGCAATCCTAACTTGCATTGAATATGTACAGAAATTTGAAATGTATGGATTTGTGTGTGTGTGTGTGTTTGCCAGGTATTCATCACATTGTGGGGACCAAATGTACCCTCAAGTGTAGCAATATCAGTCATTTTTAACCTTCTGGGGACGTTTTGTTTGTCCCTATGGGCAAAATGAGTCATAAATCATAAAGAAGGTATTCTGAAAATTTTAAACTGCAGCTTGTTTTTGGTGAGGGTTGGGTTTAGGGTTAGGGTTGTTAGACAGAATTTACAATCTGTACATTATAAAAGTCATAAAGTCTATGGGAAATCCACATACAAGATGTGCGCATACAAACCCAACACGTGTGTGCGTGCATGTGTGTTTGATTTTGTTTGTCAGTCCTCTGGTTGGAGGTAAAAAAGGACATTATGGAATAGATATATACACACGTAAAATAGATTTATACACACGCACATTATTTCACATACTTTCCAACTCTTCAAATGATAGCCAATTACACAAATCTCAAATATGCAAACAATAATGAAAGAACACATTTAAAAACTACATATTTACAGTATATAGGTTTTATACACATTTAGAAATAAAGGTACAAAATTTGTCACTGTGCTGGTATCTTTTTAAAAAATTACACTTTAGTACTGTACAGGTGGATATTAAAGCAGAGAGACTCTATTGTACCTTTATGGTATCATGAGGTACACATTTGTACTTTTTAGCTATTAATATGTACCTGCAAGGACCTGTTAGGAACATATTTTAAAAAGGTCCTGCCCTTGTGTATGAGTGTATGAGATTATTTGGACAAATAGTGGTCAAAGTTAATTTACAATAATGATTTTTATACATAGAAATTATATTGAAAATAATAAAATGTGGCAAATGAAGGGGAAAAAATGGTTGAAATAATGTTCTATATCATCTTTCAAAATAACAGATATATCTATGTAAATCAATCAATTTACAAATCCGGTTATTCTTACTAAATTATTTTTTAAAAGTACATTTTCGAATACTTTAGATCATTAAAAATATCCCGCTGACAAATGGGTAAAACCTTAGTGGTTTAAAGGTTATATATATGTGAATAAAAATGTAACATCACACTATTTCTGAATAAGGTTATACACACTGAAAAAAACATATTCAAAGATGATTCCTTGGATTTACTTTTTTTTAACGTTAAATGGTTGTGAACAATTTATTTGGGCTGAATTTAAACAAACAAATGAAGTTAAGCATTACTAAATCTAATTGTTTGCAACAATTTTGCAGTAATGTTTTTTTTTTTTCATTTGACACATATACATGCATACATAATTTCGGTTGTCTGTTAAATTCTTGTTTAATCTATATCTACTAAGCAACCTTAGAATATTAACCACACAAAATTCTGCCAATGCACCCACAAGAGAAGCACAAGCAGGAAAAGGTGAAGAGGAGAATTGAATATTAGCTGTCACTGAAGCACTTTAACACTCATTCCCTTGTGGACTGCTTTGACAGCCGGTCTTAAAGATACAGTTCACCCAAAAACAGCGCCATACTTTTTTCTCCACACAAAGCTGAGGCATGGATTATTTATTGCTGGAGTTTGAATATACTAGAGCTTGCTATCCTCCATTTTCATTTATTTTCATTGTATGAAACAGAAGTATAAACAATTTGCTGAGTTTTATAAAACAAAGTCAAACAGGTTTGTAATGACATAAGGGTGAGTATATGTTTGCAGAATTTGTATTTTTAAGTCAACTGTTCCTTAAGCCACCTTCCATGAATAAAGGTTTCTCTAACGCCCCCTGCTGGTAGCTATAGTTATGTTTTTGTCAGATATAGCTTTTAAAGCACAGGTAAGTGTTGTTGCAGCAGGGCTGGAACTAAACTATGCAGGGTTGCGGCCCTAAAGGAATTGAGTTCAACACCTCTGTTTTAAAGGTATATAATAGTAATAGTATAATAGTTCACCCAGAAATGAAATTGTTTTTTATGGATGTTGGGGCCAACCAGTTTTCAACATTGTACAAAACATCTTCAGAAATAAGAGAATCATAAAGATTTGCAACCACTTGTAAGGATAATTCCATTGTCACTTTTGGGTAAAAAGTCTCTAAGATTTTAAGTGTGAATCTCTTAAAGTTTCTTGTGTGCTTTTTGAAAATAAATCCACATACAATAATAATATTAATAATAATAATATTTCAAAGATTAAAATAATACAAAACATATTGATTAAAGGCATTAAACATTATCGATATACTTTAATCCCTTGTACAAATTACAAATACATTACTCATTTTGCATCTTCTCTGCCATGTTCAACAAATACATACAAGTAGAACATGTAGTATGAAAAATGTGGATTTAATAATAAAAGGTCTAGCCTGTCTTTATGTTGCTTATTAAAGGGCGAGATTAAAAAATGAAAATGTATCATCAGTATACTTCAGTGAGATAATTTTTGTTTTCTCTTGAAATGCTGGAAGCCAGTGGCCATCTACTATGGAAATCAATACTTGACTTAGACTCGGTATCCAACATTCTTTAAAATATCTTCCTTTGTGTTCAACAGAAGGAGGAAACTCAAGCAGGTTATAAGTTAGAGTAAATGATGACATTTGGGTGAACTGCATCTAATCACATAAACCAAAACATACATTTCTCTAATATTTCCTTTCTAAAATCAAAAGCATTCATCTTCTTTCTAAATCTGGAAGTCCAAACCCAAATGCACCAGTGATGTATAAGAGATGACTGGTGACGAATGTACTGTTACATTATTAAAACGCAGGCTTGAAATAGCGAGATGCTGCAGTCTTTTTTCCTGGCTCATTCTGACGATCTGAGCTTTTAGGCTGAAACGCAGTGTCCTTAAATAACAGAAGCTCAGTGGCGCTGTGTTGAGCAGTGCTGCCCTTGCCTGTGGTCACATGGTCGCATTTGCACAATCTGTCAGCCTACAGGAGTGTGTCACCATCCGCTCTGATCACATCACTGCTGACCCGAGATACTCCACTACTGCGGCACATCGGACTGAACGTTCGACAGAGTTCTTTGTCAGTTTCTTGTCTCTTTGTAATTATATTACAAACAGCTGTAATTATTATTACTGTACTTTTCTACTGTAAAATTATTTGTAATTGAAGCTTCATTTCAAATATTTGATTAGTTTCATATTATATTGAACAATTTATAAAAAAAAGTTTACAACTGTAAAATATACAGACAAGATTGCCCACTAACATTCATTCATTAGGTTTCCTGCGGCTTAGTATGAATTTTAGAGGTCGCCACAGCTGAATGAACCACCAACTAATCCGGCATATGTTTTACGCAACGGATGCCCTTCCAGCCACAACAAAGTACAGGGAAAGCCCACTAACATATATTCAAAAAAATTATAATAATATAAAAATGGTGTGATATTACTATGGTAGCATGTCC